TCTTCATTCACTGTGGTACTCATGTTAATGATAATTAATCACTGAAGTGCAGCATGAGTTAAGCATATAGAACCAATACCACCCTTATTTCAGCAAAAACACAGTCTATGACAAAGGGTTGAGAACTGAAATTTGCAGCAGACCAGTTTTCTATCACAAAGCCAACTTCAACATACAAGATTCATCAAATACACTTGCTAGAGGATTAAAATCTTATCATACAGCGAGGCATAATCAATCAGTACTTGAATCCATGAAAATCTCAGAAAATTAAGTAAAACAGATGAGCTCAATGGCCATTTTTGATTTCTGCATGATTCCAACACTAATTCAATACTGAGCAAGTGTAAAAAGGTGATTGATACCTGTGTCAACTCTCTGAAAAGACCTTAGCACCTCAGAACTAAAATCCAATACTCAGTCCAGCCCATGCAGCAGGGAAAAATAGCAGCAGCAACATCTTCTCTGCTATAACTATCACATAGCTCGAATCAGTGAGTTTTTCTAGCGTAAATCATCTTCAAAAACTTCAGAAAAACTAGTTCTATCAAGGCTCTCGAGTTAATTCAGGCTGTAGCTCAATATCACTTCTTACACATTAGGCTTGAACCTTAAAAAGGCTATAACAGCATATATATATGAACAAGCAAAGTGCACAGATCTTCATACACCCACAGAATACACCTGTCACCTCAAGCCAATCATTGGAAAGGCATAATGCAGATATTTTCAAGAGCAAGCACCAATAACAGAAGGCCACCTCAGCAAATTTATCTCTATGCAAACTGAAATTGACGCATACACAACACATTGCAGCATACTCCATTCAGCTCTAGACTTAGCCACCAAGAAATGCAATATTCTTACATATTCACTCAATGTAGGACCACTGAAACGTGTCACACTACTGAGCATAGTAAGAAATGACCAGAATAACCTTGCAATAGATTTTTAACTTATTGGCTAAGAAAAATCCTGAAACTGTATTAGTGACAATGCTGATTCACTCAGGTCAATCCAGTGCAATGCAGCAACCAAAACATACGTGTACATGTTGAATACAACTGAGAAATAACAATGCTACCCCTGGAACCATTTGTAACAGATTACATGAACTGAATCCACACAATTCTCAGCAAATTAAGCAAGAACAAATAGATGAGCTGTGATGAAACCATTAAAACAACAATGAGGGATAAGACACTGAATAGAACATGACCATACTATCTTTGAGGCTTATTTCAAGCAACTTTGACAATGAAGAAACCATTTGAAGCCACTGCCATTCAGCTTTTTGGCATTAAAGAGGCAAATAATGCTTAAGGAACTTAGGACCAACTGTTTCATGTCCTGTCAACTAAAACAGTTGAACGACATATAGGATGGTTATTTATATTTCTGTATTAGGAAGGATAGAGATTTAATTAAAACATTTAAATCCAGATTATATGTTGTGTCTTGAGCAATGAACAGTTGACCGGCACAACATTGTATTTGGAGGGAACTTATATATATAATTGGGTTAGGGATTTAATCTAAACATTTAAATCATAATTATATGTTGTGTCTTGAGCGGCGAACCGTTGACCGGCACAACATTGTATTTGGATGGAATTTATATATATAATTATGGTAACGCGATCTGAGCTTGAGTCTCATAGTCAACGGTTAGGGAGCGTATATGCAGTAAGATGCATAGCTAGCTATGTTGGTTGAGGTATACCCTGTTAGGCTTATGTAGTCATGCCCACTCAGGTGCATTTTGCATGTTGCTTTCTATTCAGGTTGAGACCCTCAGCATAGTCTAGTGAGAGTCCTGTAGTATGGATATATATTTATCTATTACGGACTATGTAGATATGGTTGAGACATCTAAGATATATCTGCGTATCGGGTCTCTGTTTGGATTGTAATTAAGATAGAACTTGTTCGTGGACTTGACCCACTATTATTTTTTAGGTAACGGACGGTTCCAGGTCTTAGAGCTTATTCGTGCTGAGCAGAGACAGCTTCTTATCCTTCCGACGATGTAGGAGTTTCTTCGGGATTTAGCATTAGAGTTTTTCAGTTGTTGATTGTAGTGTTGGAGTTTATTAGGGGTCCACCAGATGGATTCCTGAGTTGTATTAGAAATGGAGAATTTGGATGTATCAGAATAATTCTTTATTAATAAAATTTTATTCTGAGGTTTTAGTATTTGGATTATCATTCTAGTTTCTTTTCAGGAATTTATTTATTCCTATTTTCTTAATTGTATTCTATGTTCGTTTATTACTAATTGGTTTGATATCCTCGGGTAATCGGGCGTGGGCCTGGCCAACCCGCATCCGGAATTCCGGGGGTATCACATCACAGAACCATGTTCATCAAGTTTATTTTTAAAGATCCATTTGGTCCCTATGATATTAACATCACTAGGTCGAGGCACTAATTCCCAAACATCATTCTTCACAAATTAAAGCAATTCTTCTTACACAGCCATAAGCCAATCAGAACTTTAAAGAGCTTCGTCAACATTCTTAGGTTCAAACTAAGTATGTGACATGAGTGAAAAATATCATCTACAATACATGAATGTCTTACATCATCACAGACTGTACTCTTAGTACCATGCTTATCCCATGGACCTATCGCATTGTCAGTTGGGTGACTTAATCTAACTTTAGAACTGCTAGATGTGGAAACATCTAGAGATGGTATAGGAACTCCTATAGGTTCATTAGTGGCAACCTCTAATTCTTCATCCTCATCTTCTTCACCCTCTTCACTTTCTCCACCTTTATCCTCAACTCTTTCTTCTTCTTGAATTGCAGGATATTTCCTTTCTTCTATAATTTCAAAATTAGTTTCTTCTTTATCAAGTTGAGAAGAGGTTATCTTAGATTTTGTATCATTAAAAACCACATTTATAGACTCCATGACCACTTTGGTTCTAAGATTAACTATAAGCCCAACTGGTTTGTGAATAACCCAAAAATACACCTTGATCATTTCTAGAGTCAAATTTTACTAAGTGTTCCCTATCTCTAAGGATATAACATTTACTTCTAAAGACTTTAAAATATTTAACAATGGGTTTTCTATCATACCACAATTCATATGAAGTTTTGTTAGTTCCAGGCCTAAGATAAACTCTATTTAGGATATGGCAAGCAGTACATACCGAGTATCCCGCTCAATAGATGAATTTTCAGACATGATGCAAAAATCAACAAATAATCAACAACTATGATCTACTCTGTATATCGAGTATCCCGCTCTGATACCAAACAGTGAAAACAAGAGTTACGTGGGGTGTGGAAACAGTTAGTTGATTTTAATTATGATTAACTCCCTTAATGACCTAAATCTGATTATTAGGTCAACTTGCTCAATTTATGATTGATTAAATTATATGACTAATTTAAACATCCATAATCACAAATATATGAAAAGTAAAGCAAGTTAGAGTTAGAGAGATTGCACCAGAATTTTAGCGAAACCCCAGTTGATAAAATACGTCAACTGTTATGGGAAAAACCTCGTGGACTGTGTAGTCCAAAGTAAACCAATCCACTATGTTTGAAACAAAATATACCGAACTTTGACTTTGGCTCACACCTTATCGTTCTACACCACACCAACCACTGACGATCCTCTAGCTTTGCGACTCCCCGTCTAACAACAACTTAACCTCAGGCTTACACTTAATATTTGTAGAAGAATAGCAGATAGATCATACAACACTTCTCGAATGCTCCAACCCTTTCAAAGTGTGACTCATTTACTTCTATTCTTCAAGATCTGAACACGATTATAGAAGATTTAAATCCTGCTGATCATCCGAAATATCTGAATCTTATACAGCTCCAATTCCGATGAGATAGAGAACACTAAAACTAAATCACTCATGAATACATATGTGTGCTTTCAAAGATAAAATTAGAATAATCAGATTTAATTTTCTGAATTTTTCTCTCTCTGAAGGCTCTCTCAAAATATAGTATTGATTTTCCCTAAAGCCATGAATAAACCAATGTATATGACATGATTTATATAGAGTTTTGAAAGTCTTAATCCCTTTAGAAAATATGATAAATTTCGTGCATAGGACTTGGAAGGAAGTTGGAATCAAAAAGGAAACTTTCAGCCAAAAAGAAACTAAAATCCAAGTGTTGCTAGGAGACCTTGAACCGATTCAAAGGGGCTGAATCGGTTCAAGATGGCCAGTAAAGAATCCCACGAATTCTTAAACTGGTTCAGCCCTTTTAAGCCGGTTTAAGATGGCCAGTCTTGAAATTTTGCAATTATGATGATGTTGAACCTGTTCGTTAAATCTTGAACCCGTTCAAGATAGACAGAATGTAAAAACTTGTCCCGAACCTTCCAAAACCATTCCTAAATGTTCTCACTACCTCTTAAAACTTCTTAGAGCATTGTTCTCATCATCTCTGAGTGTAGTATAACATGAACACTTGACCGTCTTCAAATTCGCATCCGATCTTCAATCTTTGAAATTTCGAACCGAAAAATTATAACTCGATCGGACTTGTTTGACAACGAAATTAGCCAATTATAAAATATATACCTCAAAATATATATATATATATATATATATATATATATATATATATATATATATATATGAGCAAGTTTGGATTTGAATAGGTAAGTGGTGAACAAGTAACTAATATTATAATTGTAATCATATATAATAATTTATAATATGCAAGAAACCCAAATGATAGTTAAATGGTAAATTTATAATCAAATGGTTAGTAATTTTAATTTCATATAGTAATTTTTGGGTATTTCCTAATTTTTTATTTATTTATGCAAATTTCAGTCAATTTTTTTAAATTATGCTTTCTCTGATTTTGGGTTAGAAGGTAACAGGAATTAGTTCCTCTCTTTTGCAGTCCTGAGAAAAATTCTCAAGGTACAAATTGATATCCTAATTTTTGTTATTTATCCAAAACTCTTTCCCGGATCCATACACACTCATAAACTTTAGAAATAGGATGTCAGACCTTCCGGTAGACGTAATCGCCGATATACTATCAAGATTACCGGTGAAACCCCTTCTGCGGTTCAGGTGGGTATCAAAACCATGGTGTGCTCTGATCCACAGCCCACATTTCCACCAATTGCATCTGAATCGATCCGTCGAAACCAATTCCAATCTCAGCTTCGTATTTGAAGATGGTCTCTACTCCATAGACTTGGACTCGCTCAATGTTGCCGTGAAGCTTGACCACCTCTTGAAGTCCCAAGTATATGTATTGGGCTCCTGCAATGGCTTGCTCTGTTTATCTGACTTTCACAACAAAATTGTCTTCTTGCTGAACTTTTCGACCCGGAAACACCACAAGTTAGCGGTCGCACCAATCGAGTTCCCGCACAGACCACACATTGGGCCATTTATACTTTATGGGTTTGGTTATGATTCTGACGGTGATGACTACAAGGTGGTGAGGATGCTACAATTCTATTGCGAAGGTAATACATTTTATTCTCAAGTTTCGGTTTACAGTCTGAAATCGAATTCATGGCAAAGGATTCAAGGTTTCCCTTATAACCTCCTTTACTGGCACAATAAAGCTGTGCTTGTTAGAGGGGCTTCGCACTAGGTTGTGCGCCAAGGCGAGGCAAAATTGATTGTTGCTTTTGATCTTGGGATTGAGGAATACCGGTTGGTGCCACAGCCTGATTATTTGTATGAGGACATCGATATGTTTGTGGGGTCATTAGGAGGATGCCTTTGCATAAATTGCAATTATGCTAGAGACCGAGTTGATGTGTGGGTGATGAAAGAGTATGGGGTGAAGGAATCTTGGACTAAATTGTTTTCCGTTGAGCAATTTAATTATGTGAGGCCTCTAGCATATTCAAGGACTGGTGAGGTAGTACTTCTGGACCAGGGCCATGCAAAGTTTTGTTTGTTTGACTTGAAAAGGAAAACACTCAAGAATGTTGGGATACCTGGTTTCCCGACTTCCATTCGTGGAAGTTCAATTTGTGTGGGAAGTCTAGTTCCACTCCCGGTGGATGAGATGGAAAAAGCAGCAAGCACAAGAGAAGGTAGAGTTCAAGAAGTATAGAAAGGAGAGGTAATCCCAAATTAATCCTTTTGTATTCATTTTGCTCTGCTTGTATTATCTCACTCGACGTTGTTAGTTATAGAAAATTTGACCCTTAAATGACATGATCAGACATATTATTGGACATTAGAGTTGCTAGTTTTACTATCTGTGGTTTGTGGAAGTATAATTAGCCTAATTACATTGCAACTGCTAAAGCTGGTATTGAATTCTCATCCTCTAGCAGTAAATTTACCTAGAGCCTAGAATTATATTGCCTTTGTTTCTGTATAATAATGTCACCTTTTATCTTTGTTACGTGCTATATTTTGATTCTCTTAGAAATGACTTCCTGTCAAAGTGGTTCAAACCGCTAATTTAAGCAACTTGAAGGAAAAAGGTGGAAAGGTGGGTCATTAGACTTTGGCAGCATTTTTTATTTAGTACCTGCTATTTTTTTTTTTTTTTTTTTGACAATGGTGGGTGTCCGGGCCAGCCTGTGCGCACCTCAACTAATCACGCACGAGACCCTGAAGTTAACGACCGGGTAAGCCTCCAGTGACCCTGAGGAGCAGTACCTGGTATCTTTGTCTGTAAACTTGTGTATATTGGCTACGTCAAGTCTAATGAAATTCCGTCTTATAGGAGATATTAATCCTCCTAGAGGAACAGAGATGAGATTGAGTAATAATGTTATAGTGATGGGCATATGAGAAGAATAATTTAATACAATTTTACTTGTACAACCTAATCGATCATGCTGCGTCTCTAAACTATCTAATGTGCATAATCGTGTTCCTCTTAGGATTGATGCTGGATTGGGAATGTTATAAAGTTTGCGGATGGAAGGAAAAAAAATATATATTTAAGGATGTTTTTCATTATATATTATGTGTTTTTTTTTTTTTTTCCTCGTAAAGACAAGTTATGTAGTTAAGAAGAAATCTAGTAACTTGTAGGAATAAGAAACAATCAGGCTCGTTTCAATGCTAAAGCAAAGTATCGTGCCATGGCACACACTTGTTGTGAACTTACTTGGTTGAAAACTCTTTTACAGGAACTTGGGATTTCAGCCCAGTACCTAATTCCTTTCCATTGTGACAATCAGGCAACTATTCATATTGTTAGCAATCCAATCTACCATGAGAGGACTAAACACATTGAAGTATATTGCCATTTCATTCGATCTAAAGTTGACTCGAATGAGATTGTTACACCTTTTGTTCCTTCTGATAGACAATTGGCAGACATCTTCACTAAAGTGCTTCCCAAGAACTCTATTGATTCCATATGTGGCACACTGGGAGTAGATAACATTTACTCTCCAGCTTGAAGGGGAGTATTGTACAGTGTTATATGAGTTGTCACATGTGTACAATTAGTATTGTATGAATTGTCACTTGTCACCTACTATTCATTACCATATATAGAATTACCATGTATAAAATTTTCTTGTTCTTCACTCACCTACTCCTATAACTTCTCTTATATAAACACTATTGTATTAATATATTACTTACTCGATAACATACACATTTTCATATATCCTCTTTCTCTCTCTCTCTCAACATAAATGAAAAGATAAAAAAATAAATAAAATGAAAAACATAAGATGGGGCAATGCTCAGTATGGGAAAAGCTCGTGCTGTCCAGCGTGAGAAATCAAGTTCGAATCCTGAGACTTTTTAAAAAAGCAAGGGTGATAAAAAATAAGAATATCTTCCAGGATGAATAAACATATCAACTTATTATTGACCGATCTAAATTAAAAGAACAACTTATTAGTTTATTGTTAATTTCTGGGCTTCGGGTTATAAAACCATAATGAAATTCAAATTTCAGCATAAACAATAAGAAATTTTAATAAAATTAGCGGTCTCACAACATTCAAAAACAAAGCTTTATAATAAATTGTAGGCTACTGGCTCTAAACTTTTCCAAATACAAATAATGCCGGACTTTAGTAAGCAACAAAGTCCGAAAGACTTTTTTAGAACATTAAATCTGCTCAATGAAGTCCATATAAATTTCAAATCTGAACAAAGCACCTATATGTGGTTAATATTAGGTATACTATATAGTGTACATATTTATATACAATTTCCTCTTAGGTATGGAATATGTTCCTTACAACTTCCTGTTATGTCGCACATTGGTTTTGAGGCATGAGATATGTACCTTATGACTTCTTAGTAAGTCACACATTATGAACTTGAGATGAGTTAAGTTTCTAATACTTCAATTTAAGGTATATTCGTTGATCCTCACTCCACATGGTCGCAAAGGACAAATGTAAAACATCTTATAAGCCACATCAATAAAATACACTACAATTAAAAATGGGATGCATCCATACTATTACTGATTAATGTCATTGGTCAAACTTCATGATCGTCATTTTCTATATCATAGAGTTCATGATTAACATTTTCTGTATCAGACTCCATATCATCAGCCAATATGGCGGTATTTCCTCCCATGTCCCGTGTGAATTACTCGGTATTTAGCCTAGTCAATTCCATTACAAGCTAATACTTCTACCAAAGAAATACGGATAATTCTAGGAAGGTGTTGTGTTTGTATCATACACATGCCAAACACCAACACTTCATGGAAGTGTCCTTGATTTAAAAATAAATTTTATTGTTTTGAACATTTGGTCAACGCCTCCCTGGCACTTGGCCAGCACATCCTACACACTTCACTGACAAATCCTAGACACTCACCAACACAAGTCTTCTATAACACAAGCGCATCAAAGAGTAGCCATGTCACACAATCTTAGAAAAAATATGCACACGCCTCAAAGTGTCCAACTTTTTCTTCTAAAGAAAATTTGACATTATACAAATGTTCATGCAAGTTAAGCATGTGATGACATGTTTTCATATATATTGGACAAATATATAATTATAACAACAAAGTGGGAAAGAATTAATATGTATAGTTTAATAAGCTTTACGATATTCATAGAGCATCGTCTTCTAAATTATGCAACTCCTAGTATAGAAATCAAAATTTAATTAAAGTTCTATAGTTTCTTTATTTATATATAGCCGTGTCATGTCCTACTTTTTAGAAATAGTTGACGTATCCGTGCTGTATAGTGTTTGAGCCTGTGATTTTGTGTCTATACTTCAACTTGGCTGAGTCTTGGAACCTTGATCCAGAGACACCCAAATCTATCGGTGGAACTTGGCTCTTGCTACTGATAAATTTTTTTTAAAAAAAAAAGTACTAGTTGGATAAAAAAGAAGCATACCAAGCGACATATCCCGCAATCATTGAACTCCAAGAAACAACATCTGTGTCAGTCATTTCATCGAACACCTGCCTGGCAGAATCAATTGCATTTAATGCCCCATACATCCTCAAAAGGGTATTATTTACATATCGATGCCAATCAAAACCGTCTTTAAAATCAGTGAATGCACTGCCCCGCCTACTTGAACCAGTGAACAGCGACCGCAAGCTTTAATGACAAAAGGGTATGTATATTTGTCAGGTTTATGCCCAATCCTCTGAAGTTTGGAGAACAATTTAACTGATTCAATTGGCATCGAGCTCTTTGAGTATTCTCTGATTATTGTACTCCATGCAAAGAGCGGTGGATTTACTGATGAGCTGTCGAAGATTGACCTTGCGAATTCGATTGAAACTGAACATGCAGATAACATGAACTGAGATATGAAGTAATGGTCATAATTAAGGGCTGTTTTTAGGATCAGAGAGTGAAGTTGGAGTAGATGGTTGGTTGTTTTTGACCGTTGGCAGAGGATTTGAAATTGGCGGGGAATCATCACGTTCAATAATAACAGCTTCAGGTATCGTTTTTAATTGATATTGGGAGAAGATACATTCATTATTTAAATTATAAAAATGCATGTAACATGTAGCAGTGGTGTTTGAGAAAAAACCCCAAAAAAAATTTCCGAAAAAAAAAAAGAAAGAAAAAGCCCCAAAAAAAATTTCCTAAAAAAAAAAGAAAGAAAAAGCCCCAAAAAAGTGAGCAACCCAATGCCAAGTGAAATTGTACTAGTTGCTGTGGAATACCCAGGACTACAATATTTGACTTAACAGGTTAATACAATTCCAACACTATTTAAATTTGGGTTTAAATAATTTGTGTCGATCAAAATTGATACGATAATTAATCTTGTTATGCCTTACCTATTAAGTCTTTTATAACTTGTTTAAGTAATCGGGTCGTATTTGTATATGAGCATTGGACTATTATTATCTTCTTTGTTGTAAATTGTGAATCATAGATTACCAAGTCATTCCGATATAATTATCAATTAATAATATTAAATATTTACTACCTCCAATGCTAGTGTGGTCATCACTACTGGTATATATATTCATCAATGATATTGCGGCCATACTTATCTAGACATACAAGATTTTCTTTATAACACAATTGGCTGATACCGAACAAATCGAATATGTTTGAAGTCATCAATATATAAAACAATATCTTTCAAGAAACTGTTTGCGCTTAAAAAGAGTCGAATCTTATACCTAATACTTTACGAGGCCCCACTGCCAGTGACATACCACTTGAGCCCACCCTTATTCAATTGCAGGCTTTTGTTAATTTTGTAATGATCCACATGTTGCTGAATTCTTGTATGCTGTTTTCTGCTGTCATTGAATGCTGTAGGTTTGTGATATGCAGCCATGCTATTACCGTGCACATAATGTGAGGCATATGGAGGTGAGATTTATGGTCACAAGTTGTTCACAAAATTTTAGATCATCGTGAACCAACGATCTTCAGATTGAGAAAATAGATCCATAGAAGTGTATTAATATACTACAAAATGTTGTGATCGGACGGTTTTTATTAAATTGGTAGTCCACCAAATGTCTAATAGATCAAAACCATCTAATTTATAAAATCATATTTTACACACACACACCAAAAAAATATATATATAAATAAAATAAAATAAAAATAAAAATTCTAGGTTTTCTCTTTATCTTCTTTGCCATGTTTTTTCTCTTCTATCTGTGAGGATAACCAATTGTATGTGTGCTATGAGAGGAAAATTTGAGGCCATGCCTAACCTTTGTCATGCGCATAGTGAATGTTTCAACATTGAACCTGTGTTCATTACATGTCTGTTTGAGTTATACCACCACTGTACCAATCAATCACCCTATCTATTTGGCAGAATTAGTGAACAATTTTCCTTTAGATATAAACCAATACAATAAAAATAGTGATACCAAGAGAGTCCTCTCATGATAAGAACACGAACTCTCTCATGATAAGAACACGAACTCTCTATTTATTAACTACTGGACTCGGATAGATTTTGATATCTGTGAAAAGTCAAATAAATCTCCTAATAAATCTGACTCGTGTTATGAGAGGAATAAACATAATTAGAACTAAAAATACAAGCGCTCATATTTTCATAGTGGTTTTAGGGCAAATCAAATTTCCATAAAATGACCAGAAACAATTTTGTAAGCCAAAATAATATATTTTCAACTTCTAACAGACTTAAAATAAGAAAGTAACTCAATGGTCATGGTCATATCACCACCTCCACATTGCTTCTAAAATCCCATTGCTAATCTTCTTCTTTTTTTTCTTTGGAAGGTTAAGCGAGTATTATATAAATGAGTAAAATATTTACAACAGTTTTAGCTTGGGTTGAAACAACAAGACCAAACAGGCTCAAAAGAAGAGAACATTTAACATAGGTAGGCCACAAAAAATTTGGGTGAAACCAACCCAACCACGAACTGTGCTTGATATTTAGGGCATTAGGCCGGGTAGGTAACCATCACCATCACCATCACCATCACCATCGAGGCTATGAGCCAACAACCATCACTACCCAAAGCTTTTTTCCAACTATTTGGGGTTCGTTATGTAAATTATATGTTTTCATTCCGCTCTGTCTAATAAGCCCGTTAGAGTGAAAAAGAGGACACTAAGCCAATAAATCTTTGGTTCAAAACAAGACACTAAGCCAATGGCTATGATGCTTGAACCATGAAGGAACAGTTTAGATTTCCATCAAGGCTTTGTATCATCACTGGGCCGGCCTGGCCCAAGGCGACCAAGGCGATCGCCTTGGGCCCCAGCTTTTAGAGGGCGTCAAATTTTGAGGCCCATAGGGGATGATAAAAAAAATAAATAAATAAAATAAAGAAATAAAGTTAGGGCAAGTCTTGGTCGGCTTGGGCCTCAAATTTTAGAGGACCACAAAATATAAGTTAGGGCAAATTTTTCAGACGATACAATCTGCTTCGACACTCCACCTCCGCTATCGCCTCACGCTCAGGTGACACCGTGACAAGGTATGTTCATCCTCTCTCTCTCTTCTCTCTCCTTTTGCATGAATCGATCTTTTTTGTTTCCTCTCCCTAAGTCCACTCCAGTCTCACAACAGCAGCAACCATCCCCTTTTTCCTCGTAAATTTTTGTATTTTCACATTCAATCCTACGAAAATTAAGGATCCCTTCTAGTGGGTCGAGGACCTGAGGTAATAATTAACTTTTTTGATCTCTAAATTATGCTCATACTTAAAAGTGCCAAATTAAGGGTTTTTTTTTTTTATTTTTATATTTTACTTAATTTGCAAAGGTCTTCTGTAGCAATGATCAATCAATCATTAAGTTGAATCCTCGCCCTGAAATCAAGAAAGGGGTAATTGGCTCCCAATAAAAACACACAAAAACACACACAAAGCTCCAGTGAAAACTCCCGCCAGGAGATCACTCGACCAAACTGCTCGATTTTAGATTTTTTTATATTATATTTATTGTATGACCGGTAATGCTTAGTTATTATTGTTTCCGTTTTATGTTAATTGTGATCTTCTTTCACATGCAAGCAGAACATTTACTTTGATATAAAGTTGAATTTTGATTTTTGTGACCAAGGTGGAATATTTCCTTTTAATTTTTTTTGATGTAAACTAGATCGTGGTCTTTTTAATGCACCAAGATCGGATTTTCTTTTGTGTGTTTTCAACATTAATATATTTTATGTTCTTATCATCTCATATTAATGAAAATTTCGCATTCTAATAAATTTTTTGTGCCACAGATTTATTGTTATTAGTTATTTGTCTTATGCACACTGCACAAACGCACAATTATTTGAATTATTTATTGGTGGCAATAGATTTATAGTTATTAGTTATTTGTCTTATGCAAACTGTAGATATGCACAATTATTGGTGGTGATAAAAATTTATTGTTATTAGTTCGTTGTCTTAAGCACACTGCACAGACGCACAATTATTTATTGGTGGTGATAAATTTATATGTTAGTCGTCTTATGCACATTGTACAGGCGCACAATTATTTATTGGTGGTGATAAATTTATAGTTATTAGTTAGTTGTCTTATGCACAATGCACAGACGCACAATAATATTAGCTATAGAATTTGAAAACATCGTGTGAAAATTCTGCACTCTTATAATTTTTTTTGCTTGTGAAACTTAAGGGCCTCACATTTGAAAGTTCGTCTAGGGCTTCTCAAAATATTTGAAATCTCAGGGTCGGCCTTGTATCATCAGTTCGCATTGACTTACATTCCCAACCTTGTGTCAAAATGTGACTTGCCTATGGGTCATGGCCTACAACTCAGAAAAAAAATAAAAAAATAAAAAATAAAATAATATCAGAGAAAGGTCATTCTTTGTGTCCACAAATATGCAACCTTCAATGCAACATGTCTTTCAAAATAGAGAACAAGTGGAAATACAGCAGTAGAATGCAGAAGGACCAATTAAACGAACCAGTAGAAAATAAGCCCTTCTAGGTGTTGGAGACCAACTATCTCAATTTACCCAACCTTGGAAGAGTAAAAAAGAAATTGTAAAACTTAAAAATACTTGTTTTCGATCACAAAACAGTAATACAAAAAAACATGTGTAGACAATGTCACACGATGTCACAAACAGCCTAAGGTGACTTTCACACAAGTAGCAAGGCTGCTGAAAGGTGTGGAAAGGTGTTGGCTCTGATACCAAGTAGAAATATAAAAAGAAGAGAAAGGAGATAATTGCGTAAATGTTTGAATGAGACGAATTACTCATTCACAGTTCTAATATTTATAGATAAAAAGAGCACATGCTCATATTACAAGAAAGGAAACTAAATCAAATCTAAATCAAATCACAACCTATTCTAAAGCATATTCTATAGCATAGTCAAATCTCTACTATTATGGTAAGTCATTCCATAAATTGTGGTATCATATATACTAACAGAAATTATCCAACAAATTATAACCAATGATCGAACAAATTAATCATATGCTTTGGTCATTTTAGTTCTCAAGTTCTAAAGCAATTGCAGCAATAAATCCATTTCCTATATGTCTTAATGATCAGTGATAATTTCTACATGACAGTTCTTCGTGGGGTAAAAATACACTTCTGACATCTGTTAATTGTCCACTTATATCACGCAGAGTATTAATTTTCAACAAAATGTTGCCAGCAAAATTGTCCCCAAAAAGCAAATGTCATTAGCATATCACTATTACAACTATATATAAGCAGACAATTTCAAAGTACTTACATTTCGGAACTTGTGATACAGAAACAGAAACTGGACTTCCTTTGAATATCCCATACACTGGAAAATGGAGAATCTGTATTGAATTCCAGCAAATGAAACTGAAAACTGTACTGCTTCAGTTTGGATTAACACCTACTTCAAAATGAATTCTAATGCCTTGAACCTGAGGTACAACTATACAGCCTGTCAAATGACTGCCTCGTGCTTCCTAGTTATTCGTGTTGTGTCAATTTACTCTTAAATCATATCATGTATATCGAAAATTTTAGTGTAGATACGGGGCTTACAATGAAGTGCTTTTTTAATTTTTGAGTAATTAATCAGTATTTGGAATCCCAACAAATCTAGAAAAAGAAAAAGAAAAAGAAAATAATATCATCATTTCTGATCCCAAAGTGAAGAATCAGTGTGGTTCTTGTCTTGTGTTCAATCTGGTTCTTTCGGCCAATTGGCCCACCTTGCCTCATTGCGCATTCCAAGATGAGGTTGCATCTATAATTTGATTAAATTACAAATATTTAACTAATTCTATAATAATTAAAAGAAGAAAAGATCAATAAATATTAATACAATGTGATAGTTCCCATTTAGTCAAATATATATATATATATATATATATATATATATATATATATATATTGTCATATAACATTTCAACTGTTAAATAGATAAAAGAAAAACATAAATGAGCATCATTGGATGAGTTCTACTTACTAAAATGCTATGCCAGCACTCATCAAAGCTTATAGTGTGAGCTCCCAACCCGGGGGACTGACTATATGGATCTTCAGGATTTCATTTGCTATGTCCAGTTGGTATTCCTGAATTTGCTTGGCAGAATATATCACGGAGTCGCTACAACAGCTTACCTCAATCATCTGTAGTGTGTCTATATTTCCTAAATCAGATGGGATCTTCTCGAGTTTACGACATCTGTGCAAAACTAAATGCTCAAGGACGGGAAAATGATTGCTGGAGGCATTCCATTGCTCAATATTCATGTAGTAAAACCTCAAGAATTTGAGCCGACAAAACCCTCCATCACTTGTTTCCCACAGTGGTCCGACACAGGCATGGAATTCTAATTTGAGAGACTCAAGGTTGGGTAATGACCCAATGATTGACATTTCCTCCCATGCTAAATGAGTTTTTGATAAAGTAAGCTCTTTAAGATTTGGGGGAAACTTAACTCCTTGGAGATTGTACGTGTGGTCATCAGGAATGAACCGATTGAACAACTTCAATACTTTAAGGTGGTTTAGGAACTCTAGGTCAGGAAACCAAAGACCATGGTCCTTTGATTCAAAACTTCCACAGAGCACCAGCTTCCGAAGATTTGGAGTCCTTGTTAAGACATTCTGGCATCCTTTAGAAGCACATACCTGTGAGATGGTTTGTAGGCCATCGAGAGAATATACTCTTGATGAATATGGAATAACATTTTCCCCTCCAATACATAAATGCCTCAACTTTACCATCTCCCAAACACTAGTGGGCAAGTAATACAATTCCCCTGACACAATAAGAGTTTCTAGGTACTGAAATTCGGATATATTATCCGGCAGATGAAATTTCTTCCCTTTAATCGCTAAGTATGTCAGGAGAGCTAGCTGAGCAATTGAATAGGGAAAATGGGAGATACTGATACTCAATAAATCCATAACTCTAAGAAGATTGAAGCCTTTTTCAATGAATGACATATCCTTAGGAGGTATTGGATTCTTTTCAGAGCCAAAGTACAAGAAAGAGCGGATGTGCTGAGCAGAAAACTCTGAAGAAATGCCACCAAAAATGCGAGAACGGACACACAAGCGGCGTTGCTTTGCTGCAATAGGTAGGAAAAGTTGCTTATCTGCCGTGAAACCAGAAGACGAAACTTCTTCATACCAGCAAATTTGTTGCAGAAAATTCTCTTCCTCTGCTTTTTTTAAGCATAAATCATGCAACATATCATGGACACGACATGCTTTGATTCCATCTGTAGACTTTCGTCTGACAACCAAGACCAAACTTCGATCAATTAAATCCATCAAGTAACCCTCTGCCACATCTTCCAATATTCACTGTCCAATTTGGTGTATAAATCCTTCAGCAATCCATAACGAAACCAACTTCCGCACCAGGATTTCATAGTCTTCTGGGAATGCACTGAAATAGAGGTAGCACGATTTTAGGTGATGAGGTAAATGGTTGTAACTCAGTGCTAGTGTGTCCATGTCTTGGTCTCGGCCACTAACAATATATGAACTAACACTTTTAGCAATATGTCTCCACCACTCTAATGTCTTGTCTTGTTTTTTTGAGAAGTCCAGCAATTACAACAATTGCAAGAGGTAGTCCTTGACATTTTTTAGCAATTTGCTTTCCGATATCCATCAACTCTGCAGGGCAATTTTCTTTCTGAAATACCCTCTTACTAAATAGATCCCAACTTTCATCTTCATTTAGAAAGCGCAAAGGGTGAGATCTAAAATGCCCACCAGACACATCCAAAACCCGACTGGTGAACAAAATTCTGCTTCCATTGTAGTTGTCTGGAAAATATCTTCTAAAATCATCCCAGGCATCAATACCCCATATATCATCCATGACAATGAGATATTTCTTTCCCTTTAAGCGTTTGTACAACTTTTCACCTAACTCTTCATCGCTCAATTCAGAAATTTCATCCTTCAAATTGAAACGCACAAAATGCTACTCAAAAGATCTCTCTTTTGATAAGCTTGTGACACGTAGGTCCATGCACGTGTAGGGAAGTGATCAACTATGTAAGCACCATTGTAGGTTATTTTAGCCAGTGTTGTCTTACCGAGTCCAGGCATACCGATAATGGATGAGACTTTTAGTTGCCTCTCATGTTCTTCGATAAGCGGCTTCTCTACGGTTGTTTTCTCATCATCAAAACCCACTACCAGTTCTTCATCAACTATGGGTTGATGTCTGAGAGCTCTTGTTGAAGCTCTCTCGGAAGACTCCCCAATTTGGACTACTCCAGTGCCATACATTTTATTTTCATAGATCTCCACCAAGTATGTCTTGATAGACTTAATCTCTTCTATCACGTAACTTACTTTATCAAGTTGAAAAGATCCATGGATCACATAACTAACTTTATCAAGTGCAAAAGATCCACGGATCCCTGAGATACTCAACCCGCTGTCATTAATTTTCATCACCTCTCTCTTGATACACTTGATTTCTGCCAGGGCACCGCCATAGCCCCTGTGAATTTTCTCAGCCTGGTCGACCATTCGCACAGACAAATCTAAAAGAGGCCCCAATTCAACAGCAATGTGAGAATCAAGCCATGTGGCACTCAATCCTTTCTTCGCCATTGTCTTGATAGACTTTATATCTTTTATGGCAACACAAAAGTAACGAAGCTGTCTCTCTGCCTCGTGGACCATCTCTTTCAACATATTGGAGAGGAAAAGGCAGTCGTCAGGCTCGCAAAATGCAGGGCATGTGAGTCTTGATCCCATCATCAGGACTTGGGATAGACGTTGTGATAATTCCTGAAGGGGGTAAGACTGGGGATGAAAGGATCGGTACAATTTCTTTGTCCTAATGGACGCAATTTCTTCCATGAATTCGACATGAAAAAATAGGCGCTTGTTCACAGAAGGGCCACACTCATTCTGACTAAAAATCCCGCTGAAAATCCTGATAATCTCTTTGCAGTTTCCCTCGAAAGAAAGAAAATCTTCTTCCAAAGTTTTAAGCAAATCAGAAATTTTGTTAGCCAGACGGACAATGTTTTCAGTAATTTCTTCACGGGGGCTACTACCAGGTTCTCTTCTATGATGCTTGAATGCTAAAACCCTATGTTTCCAAAAGTGTGCGCTGAGTATGATTTGAGTCCACAATGACATCTACCTCACCAGTCACATCTCTAATTCTAGCCACAACATCTTTCAGTTCCTTCTCATGTTCTTCCTTCCGTTTGATCTCTGAATCCTTGAGAAACGTCTGCATGAATTGCGTCTCCTGGTAGAACCATTCGATTTGCTCCTTCTGGATGCCTTTCTCCTCATAAGCCTTCACAATAAATTCATCATCGGTGTTTAGTAGCTTCATCAGGTTCTCCACCACTAGATCCACACCAGTGTCCATCTCTCTTTCTGCAAGATCAATAATGTTTGGAAGAAACTGTTAACCTCCCTCTTCAGAAGCTCTCAATTAACTCTATACGCTATGAAACAAACAAACAGGGAGGTCAACATTGCACTGCCCACAAAATTATTAAGGGGCGCCTTTGCAAGCTGGCAAAGGTAATCTCCTGATGAAGTATGTGATTCAAGACCACACAACCATTATTCTTTCTTTTTTCTTTTTCTTTTAAATGGGAATAACAATTGAGTTCAAGCTTTTACCCAGGTAACTCACAAAATAAAATACTAGTTCTTTTCTTTTCTTTTTCCTTTATAATTAAAACAAAAGTTACTATTCATGTCCGACAGTATCTCCAATTTTATTTTATTTATTTATTTATTTTTTCAGCATTTTATACCAAACATAATTTTTTATTTCTTTCCATTCATTCTACCAAATTGTCCCTAAACAAACAAACAAACAAACAAACAAACAGAAAAAAAAAAAAATTACAAAATTGAGGAATTTGGAGGGATGCATATAAGACGTTTCCCATTTTTTCACATTTTTTTTCGTAATTATTTTATTTTTGTGCATCGTTTTGCACGTCGTACACCTATTAGCATGCCATGGGGGATCCGAAGGTCACTTGGGACATTTCTTTGAGTTTAGAATTCTTATAAATTATATTTTAGTGCATTTTTAAAATTTTTGAATTGAGAGGTTCCGTGTGGATCTCGATAGTCTGTTTGAGCTCCTTACAGTCGCAAACAAAGCAACGCAGCACAAAATGTGAGTACAATCATGTGGTCTACAAATGCTACAGCAACATTCTTTTTCTATTCTGTCAAATGGCAATTGCAGGGGCATTAGCTACAAAATGCTACACGTGCATAGCGGTCCTGCTGAGAGAAGAAGAAGATGACAACACTGCATTCTTTGGCCTCATGTTTGTAATGCTTTACATATATATACCTATACACGTGTAAATTGTGACAATTGAGGACTGCTCAAAGGTGTGCACCAACAGACAAATACAAGGACAATGTGGTCCACTCACACACTTATCCTTTTATCTGTAGCAGTATAGAAGAAGCCTCAAGAGCTGAAAGAGATAAAGCATATTGTATAATACTCTCAAGAGACGAAAATGTATAGAGTTTTCTGAGATTGTAATCAATCAAAAGATCAATCAACCATCTCAGAAACTTGCCAGAGAAGAGAGTTACAAGATGTACAACAATGAGGCATATTGCAGCAATAGCAGAAAAACGGACGAAGAGAAGGTTTGATTTAGCAGCAAAAAATATATATATTCAAATGATAGGTCCATTGCAATAGCAGAAAACGGACGATTTAGCAGCAAAAAATGACTCTAATGATATTATAACAGGAGATTTTCAAGTTACTGTTAAACATATAATAAAAGAAACACCCATACCAGAGGAAGGCCTAGCCTTTAGTACAGCATTGTAAAATCAGAATAAGGGAATTCATTCTCATAAAAGACTAGACCTTACCAGTAGCGATAAACAGAGCAGAAACTGATCAGAAAATGTAAGGTGTACCTTCCAAGAAGTGGTAGTCATGTAGAGAAACCTAGTCATTCCCCTCTCAATTCATTCAGATTGAATGGAGGATTTGTTGGGCATATGAAATATGAAACTGTGTGCAAAAGGCACCTTTGAGTAATGGGTTACATTGAATTCATCACTTATATGATTCGACCCTTTGGATGAGCCAGGATCACATTAGAAAAACTTTTCAAGGCGTAGAGTTTCACTGAAATTCTTTTGGCATTCAAAGGCCTCTGTCTAAGACTTGAATATGGATCAGAAAAAGAAGTACCTGTAACTGATTTTTGGTGACCATTACAAACATAAACTAGCTGCTGTTTGGAAATTGAAAATTGTGCCGCAAACTGAGGTCGCTTAAATTCACGTTTTGCATATTTATTCTGGTACATTTTCTGAGGGGAAGATGAACTTGAATATCTAGCAAAATCCATTGTAAGTCCTTGTACCATCACCAATGATCCATTCCTTGTCCTTGTACCATCACCAATGATCCAAATCTAGCTGTCGCTTTTAAAAAAGATGGTCTCTTTTTCTAGCATGACCCTGGACAACTTTAAGAAATAGTAATTCTTTAGTAATCTAAACTAAAAGATTATCTTTTTCTTTTTCTTTTTCTTTTTTTCTTTTTTATTTTTTTATTTATTTATGGTAAAGCAAACACACACTTTTTTGCCTACGTCAGGCTCGAACCCCTCTCCTCTTCTTTGAAGATGGAGAGATTATACCATTGGGCCAAAGGCCTTGGTACTAAAAGATTATCTTACAGCCTCTTTAATCATATCCTTTTTGGAACCACCTACCCAACTGCACCCAGGAACTTTCTTCAAACCTTTGTCTTTCATGGCAACTCTCAGTTCATCGGGCAGCATTCCAATAACCAGACAGGGAAGACACATTGGCAACAAGTACATAATTTGCTCCAAGCTCAGGCTCTATTTCCAGCAAAAGTTTTCTCATATTTTCATCAAAACCATGAACGACGCCCTCACTTATGAAGCTTCTAAAAATAACGGGGTTAGGTTTCATTGGCATGTTCCTGATAATTTGATAAGCTTCTTCAATCATTCCAGATCGTCCAAACATGTCCACCATGCATCTGTAATGCTCCATTCTTGGAATGATATTGTATATCCTGAACATCTTTTCAAAATACTTTTGCCCTTCATCAACAAGACCTAAGTGGCTAGAAGCACTCAAAATCGCAGAAAAAGATACACTGTCAGGTTTCTGGCCAGTTTGTTCCATTTGTTGGAAACGGCATTAGAAAATGCAAATTTTGGAAGGATTTTTAAAAGATTCCGCTAAGAATTTTTTGCGAATCTATTGACGAGCGCGTTCCTCTCTGCGAGGAGATGAACGTGGTATATTT